GAAATTAAACTGAAATATTATGACCAGTTTGGCAGTTTGTAATTAAAATTAAATCTGAAGTGCTATTAAGAATTCACACGGCATGTACTCTTACACTCAAATACTCAATCCCCATAATTAAGCATGTGAATTTAATAAAGGAAAATGTGTTTTTTATTCTTGAACATATCTCCATAAAGGAAAAAGACTCGAAAGTAATTCAACCTCCTCTTGTAGGAGTTGTAGGGTTATAGTTAGGCGCAGTGTTCTAAAAGGCGCTGTGCGCTAGTCGGGCGCCACCGCGGCGCCTAGGCGGTAGTCATGGACCCGGGCTGGTTCCGGTTCCGGGCCGGGCCTGGCCGGGCTTTTTTTTTGGGAAGGAAGGCCCGGGACCGGCCCGGGTAGCCACCGGGTCCGGTCCGGGTCCGGGCTGGGCCGGGTCGGGCCCCCCGGTTCGGTCATAATTTTTTTTTTTTTTTTGCTTTCCTAACCCCCCCACCCCCCTAACCCCCAAACCCCTCCTAACCATCAAGCCCAACTTGGCTAACCCCAAAAAAAGAAAAAAAAAATAAAAAAAAAAATCAATTCGGCCCGGGCTCGGGCCCGACCCGGCCGGGCCGGTTTGCCAAATACAAGGCCCGAGCCCGGACTAGCCCACCCCACCGGGCCTAGGCCCGACCCGGACCCGGACTCGAGAACCGGGCCGGTTCCGGGCTCGCACAGTGGCGGGCCGGGCGGCCCGAATCGGGTCCATGCCTACTAGGCGGCTAGGAGGGCGCCTAGTCGGGGACTAGTCGGAAACATAGAAATTGCATTTTATCTATATTTTTGCATAAATATAATAAGTAATATTGTATTTTTGTGTGTAAAATATATATATATATATATACATATACATTAATATACATGAATGATAGAATTATCACATTTGATCATACGTAGTATATGATAACTAATCACTTAACTTCACTATGTTATGAATATAAATATTGATCAAATTTAGGTATATATACAAACTATATAGTTTTATCTTAATTTACAACTTCATTTCTTTATATCCATAGATAAAGTTAAAATACGTATATCGTTTAGAAAATTAAAATTAAAAAGTAAAGTAATGTTCGGCGAATCTAGACGGCCTAGGCGGCCGATTAGGCGTTCTAGGCGGGCAACTAGGCGCCATAGGCGGCCGACTAATTCACCTAGAGGGCAAATCAATTAGTCGGAACGCCTAGACAAAAATCGGGGCGCCCGTCCACCGCCTAGCACCTAGGCGGGGTCTAGTCGGGCTCAGGCCGGTTCGGGCACGGGCCGGGCCTAGGCTCGGTCGGGCTGGCGGTTCAAGAATGGGGGGCCCCGGAACCAGCCCGGGTACTCCCCGTATCGGGCCATACTTATTTTTTTCCCTTTTCCTAGTTAACCCCCCCCACCCACCCACCACCACCAAACCATCCCAAATGGCCCAAAACACCGAGCCCAACCCGAAAACAAAAAAAATTGAAAAAAAAATTAAAACGAACCGGAACCGGGCCCGAACTGGCCGGGTCGGTTCGTGATTTAGGGGGCCCGAGCTCGGACCATAACCCTAGCGGGTCGGGCCTACCCGGACCGGTCACTGACCGGGCCACCGGGCCGGGCCTGAACAGTGCCCGACTAGGCGCCCGGGGGGAAAAATGGAAAAAATGGCCTGAACCGGGCCCCGTCCGGCCAGTCCGGGCCTATCCGGACCGATCTCTGGCCGGGCCAGTTCCAAACCGTGCCGGGTCAGCCCCGGTCTCGGGCTGCCGCCCCAGAATCGGTCCATCACTAAGCATATATAGAGCCAAATGTAATATTCCAAAATTCATCACTTAGTTTATTCATGTGTGATGTATGTATATTGGGGTATGTAGCTTGGATGGCATGTAAGACATAAGTTGGATAGGCGTGGATGGATAGGATAAGTAGGGGTGGGCAACGGTCGGAACGGTCCGGGATTAAGGTCATCCTGGATCCGACCCAATTAGTAATAACGGTACAGGATCGAACGTCCCAATCCAGAATAAGTAGCAATTGGCGGAGGGACTCAACATTGCAAATGCTTGCTTGTAAATTGTAATGTAATTGGCTCATAAACAAGCATTCCAGCCCATCTGGTTGTGAGGTTACCCTGCCTAGTGGGAGGTCTCGAGTTCGAATCCCGCTAGGCACACAAGGGTTGGAAACTTAATGGGGTGAGTTTCAGCCCTGATTACTACATGCTCCCCCCAGCCCCCCTCCCACAGATCCCCCTGGAGTAAAAAAAATGTAATAGGCTCATTTTTATCATTTGTTATAATTTTGAACAAAATATTTATAATGATGTCTTACTCCGTCCCAATTAAGTGCATGTTTGGTAGTCCAGTTTTTGGTTTATCAGGCTTATCAGCCAACTTTTTAATCAAATATGTAATTTTTGATTTTGTGCACTGAATTGCGTAATAATAAGAAAAAGTAAAGTTAGAGTTACTTTTGTGGCCGTATTGGCTGAAGCTACTGTACATGATCATTTTAGCTATGTTTACATATAATTTGTTCTTTATTTTATTAATAAAAATATTTTAACTATTATTTTTTAATAAATCAACCAATTCAGCCACTTCAGTCAGAATTTTATAAAATTTGGCGGAATCAGCATATTCAACCGATTTTGATATTACCAAACGGGCTCTAAATGTTTTTACCCCTCTTTTTGAGATGTTATTTAGAGAAATAATTACATAAATATGATCAAAATAAAGATGATTTACAAAAATATGACTAGTTACTAGATTAGTAATGAAATCATAGTAATTCATGTTTAAGTCTTGAATTTAAGTTATCACAACACTACGTTGTAGTAATGAATAGTTATATTTATGTAAATAAGTTTTATTTTAGTTATATTCTTGTAAAAAAAACTTCTTTAAAATTGATAGTGAGTAGTTTTTTTAAATGACAACATCATCTTAAAATTTAATTTATGCATCGTGCATCCATAACATCATCATTATGATATACTCCGTAACTACTGAAACTACACACACGTTATCTAATTATTTGCTAAAAATGTGTCATTTTTAATGAAAGTTTTATTGCAGGAACATAGTAATACTCCCTCTGTCCCCCCAAAAAATACTACTCCCTCAAATGTAAAAAGTGACTGGGTGGTGAATGGTAGTTAAGACGTTTAATGTAAATCGACTTGCCTAAAAAGGAAACGTAAAGTAGTAAATGAGGTGTCTCAAAAAGGAAAGTGTAAAGATTTAAATGGGATAGAGAGAGTACTTCTCGGTTTGACTTGACACGCTTATTAAGAAAGTTAGAATAATGTACAAATGTATGATTGCGATTGAATAAGAAAAATGTAAATGAATGTTAACTAGACAAAACTTTCAAAAAAAGGAAATGAGATTTTTTTGAACACTCCAAAATGGTAGGTGAGAAGAATTTTGTGGGATAGAGGGAGTATATTTTTAGCAGTGTCCATTCTGTTTAGTAAATATAGTAATGGTTTTGGAAAACATTAACCACTATATTTAGTTAAAATTTCTTTAATCAACCAAGTAATTAAACCTTCTAAAAGCGAAGTTTTGAAATTTCTTAAGTATACTCTGAAGGAAAACAGTGAACCTTTTTTGCAAATATAAAAGCGAAGTTTTGAAATTTTTTTATTTGCGAGGAAAGTTTTGATTATTTCAGAAAGGCTTTGATCAAATTCTTTAAAAGAAAAAACCCAAGAAAATCAAATAATATTAGGACAAAACTCAAAACGGTTGGATCCTCCATTAGCGTGCTCATCAAAGAAACATGAAGAGGATAACTTAACAATGAAACAGAATGAGGCTGCTACAACAAATATCTACAAACGAAACAACAGAGTCGATTGAAGAACTCTAATTCAACTTATGCTTTTAATATATAGCGCTTTTGTTTAGTAATAGGTGTTTTTTCTTTTAATTTCTTCTCTCATTATCGTTTGTATTCTCTTTTTTTTTTTAATCTTTGCTGAAAAACTTGTTATTAAAAAGATATGCACCTTATCATGGAATAAGATGCACCTTTTTTTTTATCTTTACTGAAAAACTTATTAAAAAGATATGCACCATATCATTGAATAAGATGTACATGTAGAATTTGGTTCAAATAAAAACACTATATAATGAGAGAACTATGGATGCATATGATGTGTTACATTTGACAATTGCACGCCTTTTGAAAAAGAAATGTGCAAGCTCATGAGTGAGAAAAATTTATGAAAGTTTATGATTGGTTTTTGTAGTTGAATGAGTTTAACTCCTCATGTAATTCTGTTCTTATTGAATAGAATTTTTTTCCAATCTCATCATTATTCATTTGATATCAATTACATATGAACTAATTTAATGATATTTTTAAAACTAAAACAAAGATAATCTATCAAAGTGTGACTTCTTAAACATAGTGACTATAGTAGTAACTTTAAAAAAATGCAAAGGGTACAAATAAGTCCATTATTTTCTTCCTTAATTAGGGAAGCTTTATGTTTACAGTTAAATCAAAAGGTTAAGCTTTATGTTTTTAGAAATAATTTTATGTTTGTACATGTACGCTAATATTTTATTGCTATTCTTTCTTCAGAAATACTATACTGAGTATACGGTGGTGGGTTTGTCGCATAAAACAAAATAACTATCTCCAAATCTAGACTTCTCTCACTATATATATTTGTAGCAGAGTTTTTTTTTTGAAAGGATATTTGTAGCTGAGTTATGCTAGGTATTACTTTTTAATTCGTACTAGTATTATTTTTCTAATTGAAACTTTGGGCTTAAAACAATAATAGGATAATATTAATTATTTTTTGAGCTTGTACTACAAATTATGTAACAGCTAAAATAGATTTTTGTAGTCGTACAAAGAGGACAACTTTCCATTGACCCTATCTTGTTCCGTTTTAAATCGGTATGAGGAAAGAATTGCGCTCTGAACAAAATTAAACGATTCTTGCAGATATTCCAGAAGTAAGACGCCTTAACTGACATTAAAAGGCATTGGTATTATTTCCAGCAAATGCTGAAGATCATAAAATGGCACATTGTTTGGCTTTTCCGGTCCACAGCTCGAACAACAATTGAAACATGGGTAGAAAAAGCTCAAAGCAAGTACCCCAAAATGCAAAAAGAATAGATAAGGAGGGAAAAGAAAACAGTACCTCGGGTTCTATCTGGAGGGTTAAAAGAAACTAGCAAAAGCTATTCAGAAAATAATAAGAAAAGTAAACAATAAGTCAACAATGTTGGAGAAAAGAAACTGGTGCCATTCATCAGTCTTTAATTCATATGCTTTATAATGGCTGTGATTTAAGAGAGAGCTTTCTGGTTTGAGTGATGAGAGAAGGCGCAGTTACAGATTCCAGCACCGCATCTTCGGTAATACTATTTTCTCCTCTGAATGGAATCTGCAGCATATACAAGTCTCATTGGTGTTATTCGATAATAGAACACAAATATAGAAACTGAAAACCAAATATATACCATTATTAGTATTAATTTAAATTTACACATTTAGAAGCTACGTTAGAAGTTCTATTGAATGCAAAAACTGAATTCAATATGAATAATTTATTGTTTAAAATCAGAGATTAAAAAAGAATAGAATTGGCTGTGTGGATAGTGAAGTGAGATAAGATGAGACTCACATGAACATCATTGTCCTGGAACTGATCAGCTCCCTGTTCTGAAGTGGTGGATCTCCTTTTGGCCTTGAGTGACTTCTCTCGGTCCTCATAGAAGTCGAAGTCATCCAATAGCGACGATTTTTCGGAATAACTTTTAAAAATGTTAAGCATTTCCAAACCTTCCTCCAACCCGACCTAAAGTTTACAGCAGTGTATATATGTTACCATCCATGCATATGCTAAAAAACTTCAAAGGCATATAATAAGGGGGTGTTTGGATCTGATTCTTAAAACTGCTTCTGGTCCTTCAGGGAGCAGAAGCAGAAGTTGGAGTCTTTGGATGAAAGTGCAGAAGTGATTCTGATGTTCTAATTTACTCCTAGAATCAGCTTTTTTAGAAGCTAGGGGAGACCAGCTTCTTAAAACTGATTCTGATTCTGCTTCTACTTTAAAAAAGAAGCAGAAGCATAATCAGTTCCAAACACCCCCTTAGATCTCTTTCCCTAGCAGAGTACCTCTTGAGTATCTCGAGTGTATGTAACGTCCTTGTTATCATTGTTTTTAAGGATGATGTGTTTCAACTGATTGTTGGGGACATCTTTAATTATGTGCCATTTGACTGGGAAGAACCCAGTCCATTTGTCCAGCTGCCAAAAATCCAGTTTTTTGTTAAAATCAACAGGCCCTATCATCTCTGCAACACCTAGAAATTGTCCACTTCCATTCACCTTTTAATCCACCAGAAAAAAGGGAGAGGAATTAGCCATGGATGAAAAAATTGCTTATACATATAACACACACATATAGTTTACAGGAGATAATCAACATCATTAGTAGCACCTTAATCGCAATTAAGTTGGAAAAGTGACATAATTGATCGGCTAAAATCATTTCACACTTGATTTGTGCAAGATAAAGAGTGGCGATTTATGCCAAGTGTTACCACCTTGTAAAGAGTGAATATTGAGATGTGTTATAGTCACACATCAGAATATTAAAGACAGAAATATGGGTTCATAAAACATTATAAGTTGAACTGACTAATCAAATCTTTTAGTATGATTGAACTAGGTGATCAGATCTTTTAGTATGATTTGAACTACCTCATCCTAATTGTTAACGCTATCGAGATTTAACCGCAAAACTGTTATGACCTTATGTTATATCCATTTGTATGAAAAATAATCAAATATCATGTGATGGAGATGAAATGAGAAAGTTGCTGTAAAAGTGTTCCATTTTGTAAAAGACTTGTGATAATGATAGTTTTAGCAACAATGATAATACTCCCTCCGTCCCATTGGACTTTGCCAACTTTTCTTTTTTGTTTGTCCCAAAAACCTTGACACTTTCTTTTAAAAGTAATGAATTTGTGGTTCAGCTTATTTGCCTCTCCTTTGCACAAACCCCATCCACACAATTTTTTCTTTTCTTATTTTAGACTCAACTCAAAGTTGGCAATGTTCAATGAGATGGAGGGGATACTTTAAAATGTTTGAATTGAAAAAGAGTTACCTCATAAAGAGTACAACTTTTGAATTTGGCAAATTGCAATCGCTATAAAGGAGTGTTTGGGTTTGCTTAAAAAAAAACGCTTTTCAGCTTTTGGCTTAAAAAAAGTTGAAAAGAGTGTTTTCAAATGACAGCTTCTGCTTAAATTAATCACTTAAAAGCTAAAAGCTGGAAGCAGGTAGAAGGGTGCTTTAAACTGCTTCTCATTTTTTCTATTACACAAAAAGTACTTATTTTACCAAACACTACCAACTTTTACTTTTCCAGAATCACTTTTTTCTCAAACACTACCAACTTTTACTATTAATCACTTTTCCCAAAATCACTTAAAAAAATCACTTTTTTAAAGTTGAAACAATTGCAAACACTCCCTAAGTCATAGATTATGTTTACATTTTAAAAGATTTGGATTTTTAGCTAAATAATAAATATATCATATTACTAGTTTCCTATGGTTCTAGCTTGTATTAGGGAAGCGTAAAAGAGGCAGAAGCAAACTTACAGAAAAGAAGAGGAAGATCGGACACATTCCGCCTGTTTCACTTGCTTTCCTTTCAGCCTCAAGAAAAGCATTGTCTAATTTCTTGTTTCCATTTGGGGTGCTTGACCAAACATCATATTTAACACATTTGTGAACGTTATCCTCGCTGAATGACTTGATAACATAAAACTTTGCATGATCATACTGAGTCTGAAAATCTGCTTTGTTATACATGCTCCGCTGAATGGTTTCATTTTTGTCCGACGGTTTTAGAGGATTACTCTTGCCATTCGCCCTAGGACCACGATTAAGTTCAGCCGAGGCATCTCCCACTCTGTTCTTATAGAAATTTTCTCTAAAATTGGGTTTAAAGTTAACATTCAAGGCTGTGCCGTTCGTTCGGTAATTATTTAGACCATGGTGCATAAAGCCTTTGTTTTGATTGGTATATGATGGAAACTTCGCAACCCGATGAAACCCATCCGATTGGCCACCAAGCTGGAAATTTGAACCAAACTGCAAAAGATGAAAGATTTGTTTGATGAAATCAAAGAATATTTAACTATTCAAGTGTATGTTTGCCATTACTAGCAAAAAAGTTAGTTTTTGAACTTTTTGGATGCTCAGAAGTTGGTTAGTACTGAAAAGACTGCAGTTCTTTAAAAAAATGGTTACTAGCTGTTGTAACTACACATGTAAAGGTAATGTCAAATCATTTATACACGTAGTTTTTATGTTATTATAAAAGCAAACACAGGCAAAAAACATGCACCAGTGGGTTAGTATCACCATAAAAGGAAAAAAAATAAGGAAAGCTAGATGCATTTTCCTCATATGCGACATGCTGAAAAAAAGCACTGGACTTTTTGAAAAAAACCTCTCCAAGACCCTATTTTATTTTTTGAAGAGTTAGAAGCAACTAGTCTTTCGCATGTCAAACACTACACAAACACGCACCATTATTAGGACACCTCAATGAGTATTCAAGATAATGCATGAACCCGTTGCAATGCAGTAACAAGGCAAGTGGATAACATAAATTAAGCTTAAGAGATTAATATTATGACAAAGGCCAACCTTGTTTGATTGTTTATTGGGATGGCTTTGGAGGGGGTACTTCGATGAAGCAGTAGAATATTGACTTTCAGAACTAAATGAAGATGGCATTTTTCGGGTTGAAGAGCCCAAATTTGATTCTGAAGAGTTAAAACCATTCGACTTTAATGAACCATTCATATCCACTGTTCTGGTTTTAGAATTCCTTGATGAGCACCATTGTTGCTGAAGATACCCTGATGATGATGATGACGATGAATGTGGTTGATGTTTTCGATCACAGTCCACAAAATTATTGCCGTAAGGATTACTTCCAGGGTGGTAGTAAAGGGAAGAACCATTATTTGATTGAATACCCTGAGAATTGTTGAAAATCAGACTGCCACAAGGTAAAAATGTAAATTGATGATGCAGATGCAAATTCCATCATCATCAAGGGAAATAAAAGCCACTTACCGCATTAAAGTAACCTTGATCATCATTTAGTGGTCGACTGTATCCTGCAAGAACAGGAGCCAATTATTAGTCAGCCATTTAGGATATGTGTGTGTGTGGTAGAGCCTTATTTGGGAGCTTATCGGTATTCTTAGCTGAAAATAAGTCATGTTTTGAATTTTGTAAATAAAATAAAAACTCCAAATAAGTTTAGGTTTCAAAGTTTGACTCCAGAACAAATGAGAGATAAGATATTGACATTTCAATTTTTCTTTTGAGGACCCTATTGCTACTTTAATAGAATAACACATTTTAGCAATTATCTATTCTTATAAAAGATGTATTTTCACATTAAGCCTTTGCTATTAGCATTTCAACTTTTAGCTAGCTATTCAACTCAATGTGCTAACCAAGCCCTTAATTGTATAAACTAAATGAGCATTAGAGTTCAATTTGTTCTTCGTAAGATCCATACAAAAACAATGGAATACAAAAAAATGAACATTTCACTAACCTCCATAATGATCATAGGAGCCGGCAGTTGAATTAGTGATAGATGGCTTTAGACTGGTGGATTGATGAACACCGCCATTAACACGAGCAGCAGCAGTCCCCATAGGAGAAATGGAAGAGGGTGGACCAGATGCTTTTCCTACTTTCCTAGAAACCTGACGGCGCAATGATAAAAATAATAAAAGAATAACAAAAAAGTGGAAAGGGAAGCATAGTAATGGTAGAACAGCCAAAATTTTAAAATCTGAACTAAGAAAGAAAATACCCAAGTACAAAAATACCTTATTAGTCAACTCAGTAACTGATTCAGGATTCAATCCAGCTCTGCTTGCCTCAGCTTCTAAATAGTTAAGTATTACATATACATGCTGAACCGAAATGCAAAATCAGAACAAAATGTTCTTTTTGGTTGTTCATCTGGTCTGAAACCTGGAACAAAATGTTCTTTTGAGATCACTAGTTCTAATCCCTGAGGAACTCTGAAGGTTTGCCCATACATTAACTTCAGTACCCGCGTGATTATTTGACACAAAGATCCCCGGACACCCGTATTAGAAAACAAGGAAAATTGCAAAACAGAAAAGATGAGATAAGAAACAAAAATTTGAAACTGTATTCTAAAAATATATATAGCATGTGAAACATGGGGATGTTCGTAACTACAAGAGTAGAAGCATACATTTATAATAATGTCCATATGTATCTGTGTGCATATACTTTTTGAAGTATAAAGTTTGCTAGATACTGACTGTAAAAAAAAATGCTAAGTTCCTACAAGAAAAGGTGATAAAAACCCATCATGTAAGAAAGCACCAACTTTCTTCAATAAATCTCAACAAGAAAGAAGCACGTTTTACTGAAATGCAAATTAATTAACGAAACGGGTTTCCAAATTACTTTTAATTATGATAACGGAAAATAAGCCCAAATTTGAAGTCACTGAGTTTCTTTTTATGTTTTGAGCTTTGAAAATGGAAAATGATTTTGGGTATACATAAAGTTGGCTAAAGCCTGTAAAAGAAGTTCAAGGTCCCCTCCAAAGAACAATTTCAAGAAAACGTATAGAAAATACAGAAAAAGATACATTTATCCAATATCTTCTCTCCAGCCATTGTCAACCTTCACAACCCAGTTCTCAGCCCTGAAATCAGACGCAGCAGTCATCAACAAAAGAAACACTTGAATGAGTTGCATGTAGTTGAACACTTGAATAAACATCTTTGCAAGAAGGTTCTTTATATTAAAAACCCATTTCAATTTCAGAAATTTTACTTTAAGGAGCAAACAAATTCATATCATAGACAAGAGTATGAAAAAGGAATCAACTTTATGGCTTCTTCTGCAATGAGGCAATTACAATTTTATACAAGAACACTAAATTCAAAGAAAAATGATCACACTCCCGCACCTCATAAACACCTGATCCTTCCATAGAATGAGTCGCATGAAGTTGCTTAAACTTCTTTGCAAGAATGTTGTTTATATTAAAAACCCATTTCAATTTGAGAAATTTTACTTTAATGAGCAAACAGATTCATATGATAGACAGAGTAACAAAAAGGAATCAACTTTATGGCTTCTTCTGCAATGAGGCATTTAAAATTTATACAAGAACACTAAATTCAAAGAAAAATGATCACACTCCATTCATTAACCATGCTCTTCATAAGCATCTCATCCTTCAATAGAATCTCAACAGAAAGGTTACCGTGGTTAAAAAGTCACTAATATGAGTGTAAATTAAAGAATGCTTAACCCAAAAAAAGAAACCTGGGATCAGAGTAAATAAAAAAAAAATCAGAAATGTAAGCCGTGCGATTTCTTGAGGAGGAAAAAAATATTAATTCTCAACCACGTCGCTGTTAAAATGAAAAGGAAGCGCAAAGAAAAAAAAGAAACAAAAAAAGACTTTGAGGGCCGTTGGAAACTGAAAGGAAACTGACCTATAGGCTATGGGGGGAGTTGAGATAGGGTGAAAGCGGAAAAGGAGGTACGGAGAAGATAGTGAACAGAGTGTCAGAGATTTCCCAAACACACGCACAAGTTGCCTCTGACTGACGGTCAAAATTCGCTTTCCCGTTGCTACAGGTGTTTTGGCCCATTTATGAACCGATAGCAACCCTATTTTGGCCCATCCTCAAGATATTGCTAAACATTGGCAAAGATTTCAGACTATAATTAATTACTCTAAGTAAAAACTGTTTGGTTAGATATGTATAGATAGAAGAGAAATGATGAAAACTATAAATTGATTGATTAAAAGGAGAAATGACAATGTTTTTTAGATAAAAAAATGAAAATGATAAAGCTTTAAGAGCGGAGATAGTGCATTTTATTTTTAGGATATGTCCCGAAATAAGATTTTCACATTTCTTTTTTGATATTCCAAAATGAAGTTCTATTTCTAAAAAACGTGGAAATTAGAAAGTTGTATTTACCCTAGCAAGAGTTGAGGGTGCGAGAGACTCGCTGTCTTCGTGCGGTGCAGGTTATCGACGTTTCTTTGGCCTCGTGGTGCGGCTTAGACGAATGCGACAGCAGGACGATGGATGATGAAGTAGACAACAGGCGCAAGGATGACCGAGACCAGGAGGATGAGCAGGTAGGTAGTCTCACCGTCAAATATGAAGCTCTGGGCATTGGGGGAATCGAGGATGAACTGCTAATTGAGGACAAAGAGGAGGGGGAAGCGGCGACTGGGGTAGTGAAGACGGAAGAGTTTCTGGTTGTTGGGACGATTCTCACGGACAAGGTCATTCGACTTCCGTTCTTCAGTGATTTCATGGGTGATCTATGGCGTCCCGACAAAGGAATCTCAATACAGGAACTCGGAGAACGGAGATATCTATTTAAAATTTTCCACTCTGTTGATATGAATCGTGTCCTGGATAATGAACCCTGACTGTTTGATCAAAATTTGATTGTGTTAAAAGCTTTTAAACCGGGTGATATCCCGCTTAAGATGCCGCTAGATGAGTTTGAGATCTGGGTACAGGCTCATAATGTGTCGTATAGCTTTGAAAATCTGGGAACGGTGAGAAGGATTGAGAATCATTTGGGTGAATTTGTCACTTGGGATGATAAACAATTTGATAAAAAGAGGGAAGCCTATATGCATGTGAGAGTCCGCATGAGCTTTAGTAAAGCTTTAAAGATTGGGACCACTCTAAGAAAGAGTAAGGGAGAAGGGTACTGGGTAGATTTTAAAACGATCAACACTTCCATTATTAACACTTCCATTATTAACACTTCATTCAATTGACTCTCTCAAAATAAATTTATGTCTAACCCTTACAAAGTTACTCTAATAAATAAATAAATAGGGGGAAATGGTTATATAGTATTTTAAATTAGAATACATAGAGTTAGTAGCAACCATTTATATTTTATAAAGCATATAACACTTTAGCATGAGATTTGCTTATGATAGGCATGTGAAGAATAGTTACGGGTGTAGTACTGCTGAAATAAAATACATGTTCTAAATTGATACTCCCTCAAAAATTCTTCTCACTTTCCTTTTTGGGCCGTCCCAAAAAATTCTTCCCACTTACCATTTTTGGACAATTTGTGTGGTTCACATTCATTTCACCTTTTTCTTACATAATCACAACCATACATTTTTACTTTATTCCACTTTCTTAATCTCCGTGCCAAGTCAAAGTGGGAAGAATTTTCTAGGACGGAGGGAGTAGTAGTCAAGAAAAGGCTATTTGTTTTATTTTTAATAATACATAACGAGCTCGTTTGGTAGCACGAAAATAGGCTGTTTTAGTTGATTCTGCTGAAATTTATGAAGTTCTGGCTGAAGTGGCTGCATTCGCTGATTATGCTGGTTTAAGAAAAAAATATTTCTAAAATATATTTTATTAATAAAATAAAGAAAAAATTATATGTAAAAATAGCTAAAATGGTCATCTACAGTGACTTCAACCAATACAACCAGAAAAGTAACTCCAACCTTACTTTTTCTGCTTATTACACAATTCAGCGCGCAAAAGCAAAAAACACATGTTTGGCTGAGAAGCAGAAAAACACATTGCCAAAAGGCCTCAACATTAAAGGGTAGGTATTTAATTAACTTGTACATATACCTAAATTTCTCTAAATAAATACTACGACACTACGTACTCCGTAATAATATAAAATACCTAATGACTAAAGCCGGCATGCAGTGCCTAGTTTTATGACCTGTTAACCGCCAATTGAGGATTGCCGCGAAAGAGGGGAAGGGTTTTCCGCTGTGTGTCTGAATTGCCTCACAACTCAAGGAGTCGCTCTGATGAAGTCTAAGCCTTCAACTAAAAAAGAGTACGTGGCTTATTCAATATAATACTCCGTATGTGGAATCTTTTCCAATAGCATATGGTGTCAAATTGTGAAGATCATATACGACTGCATCAGAAAATTCAGTGGCTGGATCGGAAAATTGTACGGAGTAATTCGTTATATATTTGTTCTCGGTATTAATGGATGTAAACTAGTAGAGTTATATGTACGGAAGGAGTATGTATTTATGCAGGCGTTTATGTATGTATACATGAATATATATATGTATGTATGTATGTTATTCTGGATGTTAATATGCACAGATGCACTATCTATAATAGAACAAGTGTAGGCTTATGAATGCGTGCATGATAATACACACTCAGTGCTGGCCAGGAAGTTTTAACTTCTAATGATAATAAGGTCGTTTCTATCCGATACATTAACATGAGCTCCAAAACTTTATTTTGTGATCTGCTACAGACCTGCTCTGACAATGGTGTTGTTGTCCCGCGCTTCAAATCACTGCAACGTCTCTCATACACCAAAAAAAGATGTAAGTGATGCCATTTATTTTCACCAAAATATGTTGAGTTATTTTTATATTTTCCTTCTTGATTTTGTGGTTAGGAAGATGAGAATACCAGTAATTTGAAGAAGGAGCTGGCCAAATTGTTTGGTGTTTCACTTTGCCAAACGTTACTGCCGCTACATACTCAGCTCAATATTGAGCCACAGATTAAGTTGACCAAGCCAATGTTTGGTGATTACAAGTGGTATTACTATTAATTGAATCACACATATAGTTTCTTATTTGTTATTTTTTCTGATTGCAAAATTTTATTAATATTTGGTTTGTTTCAACACTGCCACAGAAACCTTTGAGTAACTGTGATGTGTAACAGTCATTTCTAATCACAACTGTTTCTGAATGTTATTGTCAATGATAATTAGTAACTTTTTTTTGCCTGTTAGCAATTCTAATTACATTTGTTTACCTGAATGCTATTGTAATGTTAGTTAATAATTTGCTACTACACTATGATTATTTCAGTGAAATTGCCAACGTTATCTTCGCTGAACTGAAAGGAAAATGTAGCCATTATCAGAACCCTCTAGCTGTGGGAGAGGTTAGTATTGGATAATTGTTCGTTCTTTATAATTCTACATTTCTTGGGCTTATGGTTAAATAATGTGAGTTGGACTTTGGCAGGCCATCAAGAGAAATCTTCCCTTTTCTGAAATCTTAGAGTCATCCTCAGTCGCTGCAAATGGGTTTGTGAATGTTGTTTTGTCAAAGAAATGGATTGCTGAGGTGCTTTGCATAGTCCCTTTTTTCATGTGTTTTCCGCAAGTGTGTCTTGAGCATTGACATTAAACCTTAAGGCCCTATGGGTGGAAAATAATGTCCTAGTAGTGCGTGTTTGTTTTGATATGCAGTTTGGCAGAAAGTAGATAGTAGACACAAGGCTTCTACACTGAAAAAAGACATGTTTTATTCATCATTTTATCATTCACTAATACCACCATGCTGGAATGCATGCATTTAATGTTTTGTGGATGCAGAACATTCAAAGGATGCTTGTCAATGGCATTGAAACTTGGGCACCTACTCTTTCAATCAAAAGGGTTCTTGTAGATTTTTCATCACCCAATATTGCAAAAGAATTGCATGTTGGCCATTTAAGATCCACCATAATTGGTGACACAATAGCTCGCATGCTAGAATTTTCGAACGTTGAAGTTCTTCGCATAAATCATGTTGGTGACTGGGGGACACAGGTTATCTTTAGCTATTTATGTAGCTCTCTGTTCATGTTCTTTATAGTCAATATTGGCAAATTCTAAAAAGTTATGGAGTAGACTCACCATTAGTTTTTTATTTGCTATGAATGAATTATATCCATGTACAAATTCCATGCATAAATTTTGACCGGTCTTCCGTTTAGTTAGTTTGATAAATGTTTATTTCCGTTGCATTTTCTGCTCTTTTACATGAATGATTTACTGTACCTCGTAGCAGTACTATGTTCTTACATACATGATTATGTGGAAATTTTGAACTTGGAATACAGTTTGATTTGCTAATCTGATCTAATGTCTAATTTGGGATAAATATATTGATAATTTACTTTTCTGATATACCTTCATTTGAAGGATGATATGGATAGAGTTGTAGTCATTGACGTCACTGATAAGTTAACATTTATATTGCAGTTTGGTATGTTGATCGAATATCTCTTTGAAATGTATCCAAATTTTGAAGATGTTAAAGAAACTGCCATTGGTGATCTTCAGGTCAGTTGAGGTTTTTGTCATGAACTAAAAATTGCTAAACGTCATGTGACTTAGGTCTCTTTTAATACTGGCTTTTAATTCAAAATCTGCTGGCAAACCTATTGCTTTCTGCATTATTTTTTAAATGCATAACTTGCCAGTATGCATGTTCATATGCATATTGCATTATAAACATATTTTCAGCAGATGTGATATACTGTTTTGATGTGTTATATGTCATTGTAGGTTGCAAAAGCATTTCTATGAGTGTTAGCGTTCTCATTTTCTGCGCTAGCATATCCATGTAGACATTACATAGTTCCTTCCCGCAGACATAATATACTGTTTGATGTATTATAGGTGATTGCCAATGCAAAAGTATTTTCAGTGTTGGCGTTCTCATTTTCTATTCTACTATATCCATGTAGACATTACACAGTTCATTTAGTCTAAATACTAGACTCGGATAGACCGCTAGACTTGGTAGTACATAGTACCTCTCTTTGTAGCATCCTGCATGTCTTACTACTTCAGATATTTCTAGTACTATTTTCTTTGGCCTTGTATGACTATAGCATACAATTTTGCACATGAAAAAAGATGTACTGTGTACTTAACATGACCTATTTTTCTAGGCATTCTATAAAGTGTCGCAACAGAGGTTTCTCAAGGATCCTGAATTTACGAAGAGAGCACAAAAAGCAGTGGTTCGACTCCAGGTAACTTGTTTAGTTTTTTATTGTAACTTCAAGGGATGTTGGGAGTCTTGCCAGATGTTTTTTTTTTTGCATCATCTTATGTTTGTATCTAGATAAACTGATTTCTTTTAGTTAGATCTATCCATGTTGGTTTTCTTTAATTACAGGGGGGAGAACCAAAGTACCGCCAGGCATGGACACAAATTTGTAATATCAGCAGGAAGGAGTTTGATAAGGTGTATCAACGCCTTGGTGTTCAGCTAGAGGAAAAGGTAGGTATATGACACTGCATTGCATAAAACTGTCATGCTGGCATGCTGCCCTAATTTGTACCCTGTATGAAAGCTTGTCGTATACTTTGTAATAAGCTATGTGGAAAATTATCAAATTTAGAAGGGTATATGATCGCAAAAAAAAAAATTAGAAGGGTATATAGTTTGTCAATAAATCTTTGCCGGTGGCAATGAAATGCCTGGTAATATTGAAATATTGAAGCCTTTTTTTAGTAAAGTGCAATGCAATACACTACAGATATGATTACGTTACATAGCACTGAATTGGCACTGGAAGATATGAATAAAATTATGCTAGCTATATGTCAATGTCCACTCTTTTCTAGCTGGTTCTAAAACTCACTTTGTTGTTGATTAGAGTAAAATGCTCCCTAGATTATTGCACTAAATTTTGTATATTTTTTTTTTGCATATGATATAATCATGAATGTATTTATTTTGAAAAGGAGCCAGAGAGGGATATGTGGTCATTTATTTCAGGGACCGTGGGAGTAGTCGGCCAAATGGTCCATACACAAACTATAAAAATGTGAATGTGTTTTTTTCTCTGTTACCTTTATTTATTTGTTTTGTGAATGTGATACTGTTTTTGAAACTCGTGGACAATCATTCAGTGAGCTTTTACTAAGCCACTAAATATTCATAAATATACAGTCTGATTTGGGATAGTAGCCCTAAGATGGAGTCGAGTCTCTTTTGCCCTTATTTCCTGTAAATGTTGCGTGAAATAAAAATGGGTGCTCACTATGTTTTTGTTGTTCCAGCCATTTGAGCCTCACTAGTATTTTAGTTGAATTTACAGAAAAAGGTTAAGAAAGTGTCACCATTATTTTTTAGAATTTACATAAAAAGGTTAATACTACGTATTTGTGTTGACCGGTTGACGTGCTACTCCATTCTGACAGGGAGAAAGCTTTTACAATCCATATATTCCCCGGGTTATAGAGGAACTTACCCAAAAAGGGTTAGTCAAAGAAAGTGAAGGAGCTCGTGTCATATCCATTGAAGGCCTTGAGAATCATATTGTTGTGAAGAGTGATGGAGGTTACAATTATGCTTCTACTGAACTAGCTGCTCTTTGGTTAGTTGGTCTTCTCTTAAATAATTTATGCATTTATGCTTTCTAGTTTCTAGTCAGACAGCTAATTCTATTTTCTATAAATGCTCCCTAGGTTTCTTTGTTGGTCTTTGATTGAGTTTCGGTAGACATGGTAGGCACATATTATGGATCATGACTTGCTCTAGAGTTAGAGAGATACATATTGTCGATTCTTATGATAATGAGCATGTAAGGAGGATTCTTATGAGCATGTAAGGAGGATTCTTATGAGCATGTAAAACAGAGTGTGATGTGTGCCGTTTTCTACTTGATTGGTGGCATTTGTTATAAGGTGGAATAATAATCAATTAGACCTCTGAACTACTCGAAAAGGGCCAATTACAAGCTCAATCTTTTAGGCCTTTTCATTTTAGGTCTTTGGGATTTTGGATGGGGGGGAGGGGAGTTGAGTGGTTAAATTAATTTATCTACATTACCAATACATTTAGTTTGTATCAACAAATAAATATTACCTTTGTTATCTCAGTTTAAATTTTTCATCCTACTGAGAGACTGACACTTATTACTGTTATTGTCCCTTTTAAGGTGCCTTTTTGTTCAAATTATGTATAGAATATTCAATATAAGTTGATGCTTTGTGTTTTCTTTTTGCTACAATTGCTCTATGATCTGGACCAGTTGGGTTTCATGTGGTAAAAACCTTTTTTATGTTTCATGACTGAATGCTCAACTTTAAAATATTGTGATTGCAAGTTGGTTAAGGAGTTTCTTAAGTTGCTAATATAATATTTCTTGCTCTAGGTATCGCTTGAATGAGGAGAAAGTTGATTGGATTATTTATGTCACTGATTCTTCCCAAGAGTCACATTTCATGCTGATTTTCAAAGTATGCACTCACTTTTATGGGTGTGGTTGTTATAAAATTCTTTTATATTTATCCTCTTATTTTTAAAAAAATAATGGTGAAGAGTAGTTCAATGATAGTTTGAATGTGGATATGTTTTTCTAATCTCAAGGATAGTATGTCTATTTGTCTAACCTGTAACTTGTTCGATATCAGGCTGCCAAACATGCAGGCTGGCTCCCATCTGCTGATAATTTGTTCCCTAAAGTTACTCATGTTGGTTTTGGCGTATATAAAGGGGACAATGGAAAGCCTATGAAGACTCGTTCGACTGATGTCATTCTATTAGCTGATGTTCTTGATGAGGCGAAGAAGCGTTGTAAAAGTGCACTTATTGAGCGTGGTATGCATAGTAACTGTGGTAATTTACATATAATCATCAATAGTAGTTTACATGCATATTGTATGTCCACAAAGATATTTTTGTGTGTGTTAGGAAGGTACCTTGTAAGTTGTAACCCTTAGCCATGTATAACTCTTTCATTTTTGAACAGGTAAGGCTGTAGAGTGGACTGATGATCAGCTAAATAAAACGGCTGAAGCAGTTGGCTATGCTGCTGTTAAGTAGGCTTTCTTCCCTTCATTATTTTCTATTACACACTAATTAATCGGTTGTTGCAAACTTTGCACTTGCCCTATGTGCAAACATCATTGCTATTGTGTGAAGCTACTTTGCTTTCATTCCTGACAGGTATGCTGACCTAAAAGACAACAGAAAGACAGACCATATATATAACTTTGATAAGATGCTTAATGATAAGGTAGGGTCAACCTATTTTCTCTCTAAATCATGTCATGAATCACAAAGATATGACCTGAACTTGATTATTTTGCTTATTCTAAGATTTTTGGTGTCTCTTCTTTTACCAAACATGATATAATACACATTATCTTCTTCATATTATTGTCTGGACTTGTGACTCCCCAAATATATTCTTCTTCATATTATTATAATAACTTCTAATAACCAGGGAGATACTGCTGTTTACCTGCTGTATGCGCATGCTCGTATATGTTCAATCATCACTAAATCTGGCAGAGACATAGATGAATTGAAGAAGGTATGGCGCATATTCACCGGATACTAATTAAATATGATCTATAATCTATCTTTCAGTTAATATATGTTTCCTCACGTGTTTGATCTAAAACAAACCCCTTCAGTTTATTAACATTCGCCATCTATGAAGCATGGATACTTTGCTAGGGTACCGTATCGGCGTATCGGAAACGTTCCCGTATCCGATACTTTAGGATACCCATACCGTACGTTTCCGGGTCGTATCTGCAATTTTTTAAAGTTTCCAATTGTTTTGGTAATTATTTTAAAATTTCGGATACTCGTATCCTGAGGGATACACGTAACTACTTTAAAAAAAAAAAATCTTCCAAAAAATCACTCAAAAATTTACACAATAAAATTCTTAAAAAATGAAAAGCTAAAAATAATTTTTACCTTGCTTTTATGTGGTACACAACTAATGGGCCTATTCCTATTTCACCCATCCTCATATCTCTAATTCTAATATCCTTGAAAATTAATTGCTCCAACGGAAATGTGTATTAGAACTTTTAAAATATTGTTTTCTATTTTCATTATTCTAGAACTTTGAGTACTTGCACTTTAAATTTCAAAATTGTAGTTGTTTGACTTATTTCTCATTTTAGATTAATGACTTATTGACTATATTTATATTACGAGATACACTAGTGTATATGAGATAAAATGTGAATTTATTTCTAAGTATTTTGAAAATGTAAAATGCTTCAATGTCATGAATGGGTAGACGTCAGAAGATAATATATGAATATTTTTTTCAAAAAATATTGTATTTTTAATATTTATAAATACACCCCTATAAGTTTTATTTATAAATACACCCCCATAACTTTTAGTGTTTATAAATATGGCCCTGTATCCGTACCCTACTTTTTTTGGTTTTGTCGTATCCCCGTATGCGTTTCCGCGTACCCGTATCGGTGCTACATAGTTCGCCATCATTAGAAACAATTATTGATCGGTATTATAGAAATCTGAGAAGAACTTACCACACAAAAATAATAAACTCCTAGTTACTTAAAAAAACTAGTGTGGGAATTGAACTAGCTTCTTATGTACCCAGTTTACAAAGTCTCCATTCGTCCCCCACAAACAAAAAACCATGTTTAAAATGCTTTTTAGTCCAAAAAGAGTCATTTGATTATAAGTTTTTTTTGTTGCTATTTTTCCAAAAAGACATAAGTTATACTACCTCCGTTCTCTTTTAATTGCAACATTGGACTTGTTGCACTATTCACATATTCTACTTTGACTATGTTTTATTTATTAATGTATTACTCCCTCCGTCCCCCTAAGTTTGGGACGGAGAGGTGTGGTGTGGTTTTTAAGAAAAAGTGGAATTGTGTGGTTGGTATTGAATTGATAAAGTGTAAATAAAGTAAGAATGAATTCTAACCACTCAAATGTTACCAAATATGGTATGGGACAAACTTAGTGGGACGGACGAAAAAGGTAAAACGGGACAAACTTAAAGGGACGGAGGGAGTATAAATTAAATTCTTAAAAAATATTGTTAAATTTCTTCTCATTCTAAATTTTCAAAATATGAAATATTTAAATTTTTTACTAAAAAGGAATGAAAGATATTAATGGTCAAACTTGTGCGTTGACATACGTGAAATGTTGACGGTTGCAATTAAAAGTGAACGGAGGAAGTACATGATAAATTAAGTTTAGTAAACAAATAAGTTTGAAAGTGGTAGCAGCAAATTAGTGATACCATAGCACCCACAAGGCCTGATATTCGATGGTATGTATGCTTTTTATTGTCTTTCTTACATGGGGTTATACAGAAGGACACTCTAGTTTTGGATCATGCTGATGAACGTGCCTTGGGGCTTCATATACTACGATTTTCAGAGGTATATCTTATTTATTTGCGAAATTTCCCAATATAGAAGTTAAAACAATGCAAAATTTCAAAATAGAAGTATTACTTCCATCTTAATATTATGGCATTGTCTGACATTAATTAATATCACAATATTAATGCCATAATTGGTAGTATTTTCCAAGCATGACAACAATTACTCCTATTTTGAGAAAATAAACATAGTGCTTCTGTTTGGAAAATCACCTTTTTTACCCCTATTTAGCGTAAATTTTGTAATTTTTCTCTGCCCATTTCCCGACATTGCCCTTCAAGTATTGTGTGAATTCCACAAGTCTAATCCTTGACTTTCAATGAGACCATTACTCTGCCTTGCCCTTTTTTGTCGAATTGAGATTTGAACTAATATATCCATCCTTCTCCAAGATCTAAACTACAAATGGAAATCTGTCTCCTAATGATCATGGATCAAGACAAGACAGATTTCTGCTTCCATTTTTGCCCAATTCCTTTTCTGAGAAGAGTTAATGGATGACTAAATCTGGAAGAATCTTAAGGCTCTATTTGGTTGGAGGATTTTGAAGGGAATGAGAGGAAACTTGAAAATTCGTGTGTGTTTGTAAACAATTTTTATTTCAGTCATAAATGTGTAATTATTTCAAATTTTAAATCCGCAAATCGGAGTATTTTAAAGGACAACTTTGCCAAAATCTTCCTCCTCCCCTCCCCTAGCCTCCTTGCCTCTTCCCTTCCTTTGAACCAAACAGGCCTGCCACAGCGGTGAAGGACAAGGTAGAGATCTGACCCATATTAAAAGTGAAGGATTAAATCTGTTATTATCTCCTCTAATTATTGTAATAAATTTTTCAGACTGTTGAAGAGGCATGCATGGACTTGTTCCCTAATGTTCTATGTCACTATGTCTATAATTTAGCTAATTACTTCTCCAGATTTTACTCCAATTGTCAGGTATAATGCTTTAAATATGATCATATCTCTCTCTATCCAGCAACTCATAAAAACAATCATTTCTATTGAAGTAAAAGTGAGTGCTTTGTATGATCCTTTAACTATATTGCTTTTATCTAATGTAAATCAAATGGAGTCAGGTGGTTGGGTCAGCACAGGAAGCAAGCAGACTATTGCTTTGTGAAGCAACGGCTGTGGTGATGAGGAAGTGTTTTTTCTTCCTTGGGATTGTTCCTGTTAACCAGCTATGATGTGCCGATGACATTGTTACCAATATATCCTCTTTTTACTTCAATTTCGCATTGAAAATGTATGTAGTAAGATACTACGTAGTATACGTTTTTTTCTTGAGCCCCCCTTTCGTATCCGACTTTGGTGGCTGCAGGGCCGTTTGGTTAGTCTCCTACTTCATTTTTTACTTTGAAATTTGGAGTGATTCAAACTTTTCTTGTTTTTAGTTAAATTTAAGGTTTAATAAATGTTTGATTATTATAGTTTGATCACTACTTTCATTATGTCCTCCAACTGTTTGTGAAGATTGAATATTGGGATTTTTTAAATAAAATTGTTCTGTTATTCTTGTAGACTAAATTGTTTGAAGCTTTTCTAAAGAGAAAGTTACATGTATGCTAGTAGACTATTAAACTTTTATCAGTGCAAATGTAAGCATTGTTGGATGAGTCGGTACTCGGTATGATTATTTATGTAAAGAATGGAGACATGGACCAAAACGCGTTGCAAACTTGCTATTGGTCGACCATCGACTCATTGAGAGCAATCACCATATAATTATGGATGGACTTGGTTCGGGCCGGGCCTAGGCCCGGTCAGGCCTCCGGTCCTGGATTGGAGGGCCCGGAACCGGCCCGTGTAACCCCCGGGTCCGGGTCTGGCCGGGCCTCGGGTATATTGTTTTTTTTTTTGCCTTTTCCTAAATAACCCCCAACCCTCCCCTCACACTCAAACCACCTCAAATGGCCCAAAATACTCAGCCCAATCCAAAAACATAAAAAAAAATCAAAAAAATAAAAAAATAAAATGGCTCGGACCGGGCCCGAGCGAACCGGCTGGGCCGGTTCACGTTTTGAGGGACCCAAGCCCGGACTGGAACCACCTCGGGTTGGGCCTTCCTGGACCGGTCCCTGATCGGGACGGGCCGGAATAGTGGCGGGCCGGGCCGGTTCCGGGTCGGGCCACCCGGCCCGAGTCCACCCATACATATAATGTAAAAGAGAGATTTAAACGATTTGAACCGTAATTCAATGTTAATACAAGGATAATTGAAGAGTTTCAAAATTAAATTAAACTTGAAGGTCAGACTAAGAGCAATTTGTTCAACATAATAGCCTAGCTAGCACAATTAAAAAAAACTGTGAAGGTATCGTCTTTTCTTAATTGTATTTTAATCATGATAACTGAATGCATGCAACTCTCTGTATAAGGGTGGTCACAGGACAATGGTGTGCACAATTAAGAGTTAACCTCATATACCTAAGGACATTGAGTTACTACAATTGCAAAATGACTGCAAGTGGGTTCTTGTCTTCTTGATATAGAATGACACTACTAGTTATGGAGGGTTGACAATGTGAAAACATTTATTTTTCTACAACTTGTGTTCATGCTCTAAAGTTTAAACGTTTCTTGTTATTTGAATGTCGTTTTTAGCTTCATTATGTTATATAATTACAGCTCATGGAGAACAGTTGTCTGTATGCTACTAAATTTAATAGTTTTGTCTGTACACTTTGCTTTTGATCTCTTTCTTGCATATATATATATATATATATATATATATATATATATACATATATATATATATATATACAAAAAAGATCAGGTCCAGCCCTCCCCGGTCCAGGGCTGGATATATATATAAATTCTTGCATATATAAATTTTGTATAATTTTTTTATGTTTTTTTTATAATTTATCATGATTTCATTATGAATTAAAACATTCCAACAGTTACAAAGTTATATTTGTCCAAACAGACATAAATAGTCCTACTAGTGAGTTAAAAAAACAATATAGTCCTATTTGTGATTATTGACTATCTTCTACTCCTATTTAGGTAATTAACTCTTATATATAACTATTCATTCAAGCAAGTGATATACATTACATGTAATATACTTGATTAATTATACCAGGTACAAGATGCCTTTTCTGGAAATAGTGGGATTCACAAGTACATTGAAGACATTCTCTGTTTGCTTTGTGTGGATGGGAGCTGAAAGCGCAGAGCACTACATTTGGGTTTTAAATGAGTTAAAGCTAATATGTCCTTGTTCCCCATTAGCGATTGTGACCGACCGAGAGTTAGGTTTGATAAAAGCACTCAGTGAAGTTTTTCCAGAATCTAAGCATATATTGTGCATTGTACATGTCAAGCGTAACATAGAAGATAAAGCTTTAAAATTGAGCAACAAGAAGAAGGTCCAAGAATCCTTTTCAAAAGGATGCATGAAGCTATTTAGTTCAACCACTGTCGATCAATATGAGGAGAAATTAAAATATATGAGATCAAAATGGAAGAAAAGTTGGGGCCTTATGAAATATCTTACTGAAAATTGGTTGGACCCGTACAAAGATCGTTTGGTGAGAGTGTGGACGGACCATGTCACACATTTTGGCACAAGGACTACTAACAGGTAAATAAATATATTTAGGGAAAACTATCAAATAAGTCTTCGTACTATATTGAAAAAGTCGATTGAGTCCTACTATTAAATCACTACATTCAATCCTTTCACTATTAAACAAAACTCAATTACCCTTTCTACCCGGTTGTTTACAAGTTTTCCAATAACGAATGACCTGTAAGCTCATGTGGCGTTAATATTTTACATTTTCTCTTTTTTTTTTTCTTTTCTTTTTCCCTTCTCCTGTTCTCGATCTGCTCGTCGGCTTCCTGTTCTCCAGTGAGTTTGTCCTCCATCTCCCGCGAGTTCGTCAGCCGTCTCCGGCGAGTGTAAGGTAAATTTTTATTTCCGGCAAGTTCCTCCGTTTTCTTCTTGGATCGGGCGTATAGCTAGTGTGGCAGACATATGGTCTGCTTCGGTCACTCCCCATAGGTATATCTTCTAAAGTCGTCGGCCGATTGTTATATACCTAGTGTGGTGTATTTACACACCTGTCTGTCAAAGTGTCAACTCATGTGTATTAACTATAAGTTTATAATTAATCAACCGGGTGAAATGTATCATTGAGTATTTTTTTAAATTTGGGGGGACTTGATTGGTTGATTTATTATATTACGAGGACTCAATTGACTTTTTTTTACATAGTACGGAGGCCTACTTGATTCCATATATTTACAAAAAATTATGAATAATTTCTTTGATTTTATTTCATTAACTTTGTGCTGTAGGGTGGAATCTGCACATGCAATGTTAAAGCTACAATTAGCCTCATCCATTAAGGGGTTTGACAATGTTTTTGCTGAGATAAACAACTTGCTGAATGATCAATTGGAAGAAGTGAGGGGATCTTTAGAATTGTCACGTTGCACCATTCCAACTGTATTGAATAAGATTCCAATACTTAGCCAGCTTCAACACATGGTGTCAAATGAGTGCATGAATAAGTTAATAAAAATGCATGATGAGGTCATAGAAGGAAATTACGATCCAATATGCAATGATTATTGGTGGAGGGAATGTTATGGTTTACCATGTCCACATGAGCTAGCATCTTGTATTCGCGATAATCGTCCACTACATCCATCAATGGTACATAAATTTTGGAGAAGAGTTGAATGAGATGTAAATAAGGAACAAGACAATGACAAGGCCGGTGATATAAGTGTTGATGATGTGGTCCTAAAAACCATAGTTGATGAGTTTCAATCAGGCCGTATGTCAGCACAAGAAAAAAAAAGACTTCATGCAAAATGGAATGAGATGATAAATCCAAAACTTAATACTATGAAAGAGCCACTGATTCATGTAACGAAGGGAAGGCCAAAAAAAATCAACCACTCGAGACCCAAGCGCATGGGAGTACACTGAGAAGAAATACAAAAAATCCAAGGCTACAATTTCACGTCATGGGTCTCGTGGACGTGACAAGGATATCAAAGGGAATCAAAACGGAATGCAATTCAATTTCGGTAATGATGTTGAGACATTCATGCTTGAGCATATTAGTAAAGTTGTGGACGTTATTGGAGATGGACATTGCGGGTATCGCTCACTTGCAGAGCTTTTAGGATGGGGAGAAAAAGAATGGGTTAGAGTTCGAAGGGAGTTAGTGGAAGAACTAGATGTCATCATGGGCTGTATGATCCTATATGCCTTCTTTTTTTTTTTGATAATATGTAAGTATATTAGAAACCGAAAAAATAGCATTTTACAATGCATCAATCCAAATCAAAATGACTATCTAAGCTAGAATAAGTCAATAAACTAACCTAGATATAATGCATCAAAATAATGGGACAGTCCCCACTTCACAAATCACTTATTAAATAAAAGTACAGTCCATCTAAGGGAGCCATAGTTTCCCCATCCAAGAACTATTTTATCTTCCTTCCAATCATTCTTCCAAGCCGTCTTTTATACTTCTCATTTGTCTCACCCTTTCTCCGCCTACTTTTTTGGGGGGTTTTCTTGACATGATGTTCCTGATCCGGTTCCTCTTCAGTCTCATACTGGTTTTCAGAATCAGTAGTATCCAATTTCTGTTCCGTATCCGGGTCAATATGGCCAACCGAAGTAGCAGCCACCTCAACATAGGCTTCATCAACGGCAGAATTCCCAGGTTCTTCCAAGATCTTCCCCTCCTCAAGTTTAGCATCAGGCAGTTTGCCCTTTGGATATATATAAGATCATATGCTTTTGATCTCATATGATCTTTCATATGACACTCATATCATATATGTAAATTTTATAAAAAAATATGGTCAAGTCTAGTCAGATCTGATCCTATTTGTTTCAATCTATGTGGTTCGAAATAAGTTCAATTAAAAATATCCTCAATATCATTCACATCATAAATCTAGTCATATAACATGGTGGTGATGGAGTTTTAAAAGGTGGGGCCCTCCACCTTTGAAATTAGTCAAACAAATAAAAAATTAAAGATAATTAGTTTACTAGAATTAAAAATGTTACTTATTCAAATCTATAATCTAATATAGAACTCCCAAAAAAATCTAATATATAATTGCGCAAAGTAAAAAACAAAACATTTGTGTTTTTATAATATATAAGGTTTATATCAATCATCCAATACAATTGGAACAAGGTCTCTTATAACATTACGACATTCTGTAAACTGTTTAATTCGATGAAGAAGTGGAGTATCCCATCCTGCAACACTAGCGTCGTGATAGTAAGACCATGTCGTAATCACTGATGGCAACGGAGCATTGTCGTCAAGCCAAATATGTGCATCAACACAAGTTTTCATTTTATGCATATCATATGGTAATGTGAAAATAAAAAAGGTAAAGTGAAAACAAAATGGAAGTATAAAATATTGTTTGCTTACAACTATGTAGTGTTGTTGGGAATGAAGCCGAGCAATGCAAAAAATTGTCTTCGGAGGACTACTACCCGGGGGAGCGATCATGGGCAAACAAGTGAC